TTTCTGGAGCGGACAGCGGCGTGGGGGGCCTCGGAACATCTCGGAACCAAGAGCGCCGAGTCATGCCCTCACAATCACTTTGGAGTGAAGATCAAGTCCAGTTTCGTGCATGCCATCATCTGCCTGTGTGTACTGCCATATCGGTGGTTCTCTAACTTAGGGTCCCCTGTATGGTCCCTTGTGGAAGGGTGCCAATAAAGCTGACGATAGTTGTCGTTTCAGCACCTGCTCGAGGCCGCAACCTTGGACCTCTTGGCCTGCATACCCCTGATTGCCAAGTGCGCCTCCATATGGGTAGTTCTCTAAATTACGGTCCCTTTTCGTGAGTCCCAAGAAGACCGTAATTTGGAGAACCGCCCATATCTCTGTGATGCCTGGCAGAGAGCACTCAGCGCAGCAGCTAATGAAACATTCAGTGTTCAACTGGCAGCTTCCCGGCTGATGCTTGAAGTAGTTGCAGACTCCCACCAGGGTGCTGCTTGAACCCCCGACCCGGACCACCAAACCTCTTTTCCTAACTCTGGGTTGCCACGCTACATCGTTACGACGATCGGAAGCCTCATTGCTACAGCCTCGATTCTAAGCTCCCAACCCTACGTGCCCCAAATCATAATAGTAACTCGATACCATGCACAGGTACAGAGACGAGCTGCCTCCAGACTTGGACATGCCGGAGATACGGGGTCTCCTGGCTAAAGCTGCCCACGACCCCTTGAGCTGCACATGAATCCTCGAGAGACCCTGTGAAGCGGAAAGTGTGCCAGCTGGCACCGAAGGTGTATTTTTGCACCCTCAGGGCGAGACACATCTGTCGCTTCGCACAGGCAGGCTGCGGGAGGAGGACTATACGCCATACGTGATCACATCTCTGCAGGACGGATCAAGTCGATCCTGCTACCTGCCAAGTCAAGCGGTGCCCTTCTACCGACGACCAACTTCCCAGGAGAGCGACCGCATGAACGTCCTTGTCGGGATGATCAGAAATTCTTTAACAGAGCTTGAGCTGGGCATCAGTGGTGAGAGCCTTGCAGAGAAGTGCTTGCTTTCACCTGATGTCAGTCGCGACTTGCGCATTGAGGCGCTCTAAACATCACCGAAGGGATGGAAGCTCTTTCGACGTCCCTGCAGCTCAACCGTGTGAATGACAGCTGGTAGGA